TAATTGTGCCCCACAAATTCTGGTAAATTGTCCTTGAATTTTTGTTGCATTGTAGATATGGTTTAATCTCTTGTTCAATTTAATCTGTAGTCCATTGGTTCCTAAGAAAAGGATGTTATTGAATTTTCATTTTTTGGGGGGATTTTATTGTTTCTTTTGTCTTTGACTTTCAGTTTCATTGCACTGTGTTTAGTTAAATGCATGGGATAATTTCTGTTCTCTTACATTTATTTAAACATGACCCATGGACTAGTTATGTGGTCTGTTTTAGAGAACATCCCATATGCAGCTGGAAAGAATGTCTATTCAGATATTATTTTGTGGAACAGAACATTCTGTAAATGGCCATTAAGTCCATTTGTTCAAAGGTTTGGTTCAGTTCTGCTCTATTTTTTTGTCTACTTGACCTATTTCTTTTTAAAAAAAATTTTTTTTTGAGGTAAAGGGGTGTTAAGGTCTCCTGTTAAGACATTCTTTAAAATTTGTGTTATATAGTTGGATGCTTTGATATTTGATGCATACATATTCATCACTATTATTGCTTCTTTTTGAAGTTTTCCCCTAAGAAGTATGTAGTGACTTTCTCTCTTTTATTTTATTTTTTGTGGAACCGGGGATTGAACTCATGCCCTTGCGCTTTCCAGCAAGTGCTTATTCTACTGAGCTATCTCCTCAGCCCCCAACTTTCTCTCTTTTAATCATTCTTGGTTTGAAGTTAAGATTGTCTGCGAAAAGAATACTCCTGTTTTTTTTTTCCTGAGGTCCTAGAGCATGTAGTATTATTTTCCATCATTTGACTTTCAGTCTATGAATTTCTTCGTGGTTTAAGTGTGTTTCCTGTATATAGTATGTTGTCGGATTTTGTTTTTTGATCCACTATGCCCATTTATATTTTATTTCATGAATTGTGTCCATTTATATTGGTGGTTATAATTGATATGTATTGGCTTATGTTTGTTGTGTTGGTTTTCTGCTGTTGGTTCCCTACTTTTTGTTTCTAATTGTTTGCCCTGTGTGGTAAGTTATTTCTGTTGTTGTTCCTGGAATTGTGATCATTTTGATCCCTTTCTAGAATATTTTTTAGTACTTTGTATAGGGCTGCTTTGGTCATCATGAAATTCTTTAGTTCTTTGTCATGAAAGTATTTTATTTCTTCTTCAGTTTTTAAAGAGAGTTTTGCAGAGTATATCTGTCTGGATTGAAATTTGTTTTCTTATAGGACTTGGAGTACTTTGCTCCATGCTTTTTTGATGGTATTTGATGAGAAATCTGCTGTTACTCTGATGAGTTTTCCTTTACATGCGATATTTTTCTTTTCTCTTAGAGACTTTTAGTATGTATTCTTGTGCTGATTTTCTGGGATCTTGATTATCATCTGTCTGGGTGTAGTTTTCATTGGGTTGATAATATTTGGAGTTCTATATGCCTCAGTTACCTGAATGTCAGATTGTTTCCCCATATTTGTGAAGTTTTCTGCTATTATTTCTGCCTCTATTCTTATGTTGTTTGTGTTGTCTCCTCATTTCTTCTTAATGCCTGTTAGTCTTATGTTGTTCATCTTTGCATTGTCTTGCAGTTATTGAATTAGTATTGCCTGGATCTTTGTTTTTAGGAGATCTTTCTTTTTCTCTAGCTGCAAAAGTGTAACTTCACTTCCTTCAAATGGTTTTGTCAACTTTTAATGGAGTTTTTAATTTCTTGTATAGCTCTTTGAATCTGTTTCATGCATTTTTATTTCCTATATTGCTCATTCAGGATTTCCATCATTTTTCTGTTCTTTTTTTGCGGAACCGGGGATTGAACTTACAGCCTTGCGCTTGCCAGGGAAGCACTTATTCCACTGAGCCATCTCCCCGGCCCCTGTTCTATTTTTTTAATTAATGTCTTCTTTAGAAACAGTAATTCAGCATAGTTACCATTTCTTTTTTTACTTGGGAGATTATTTCTGTGTCAGAAATAATCTGTACAGATATGATTTCCTCTGTACCCGTTTGTAATTGTTTCTTCAGTTGCCATTTCAGAGATTTCAGCTGTGTGACTTCCAAATGTCTCCTAGGTTGGTTTTGTGTGGGCTTGGGGGTTGAGATTGAATTTTGTTCCTTCTCTCTCTCTCTCCCGGGAATTGAACTCAGGCCCTTGCACTTGCCAGGGAAGTGCTTATTCCACTGAGCCATCTCCCCAGTCCCTGTTGCTTCTCTTTGTCGTTTTCTATTTCAGAGAGAACTCTTATTTTGATTTCTGCAGGGTATAACTTTTGTGAAAGTTCAGTATTAGATTGCTGTGTCACTTAGTCAGAACCTTTCTATAAATAGTATGTTCTTTAGGTATCTGTCATGTCAGAGATTCTTGTTTATTGTGTGTCCCAGATTTTGCCTTCTCTCTTGATTGAGAGTGAGATCCTGGTTTCTGTTTGGCACTGTCCTCTGTCCTTTGGAATAGGGCTTTGGTGAGGTTATTACCCAAGTACCTCCTGATATTATTCCCCAAGGGAGAACACGTGTATAAGACAGATATTATATGCTATTTATAGTAGTATATTTAGCAATACTAATTACACCTGGTGAAATTTAGAAATTGACAAACTTTTGTAACTAATTTGTTTGTATTTTAGGCCATAGGAGCAAACAGCCATATTACAAAGCAGATCATAAATGTGGAATTTGTGTTTAAATTAGTGACCTGAATTCTGTCTGGGCACCTCCATTTGATGTACTTGGTGTCTTCCAGGCAGACTAGTTCATCCAAATTACCTTCCGCCATCTTTGAACCTCGAGAATCCTCCTGGTAGGTCTGGGCCTTAGTCCGGGCCTTGCCGGGCCTAGCAGTATGCCTCAGCTCACCTGGTGTAGTTCCTTTCCACTCTGTCCTGCCAAACTGGACCAGCAGGGGCTGGGGAGATGGCTCAGTGGAATAAGTACTTCCCTGGCAAGTGCAAGGGCCTGACTTCAATCCCCAGTTCTGCCAAAAAACAAAACAAAACAAAACAAAACAAAAAAAAAACAAAAAAAACTGGACTAGCAGGACTTGGCTGCTAGGCTTGGTTCTTTCCAGCTCCCCCCCCACACCAAACAGGGATTTTTATACACCCTAACAATCTGATTCTAAAAGTTATATGTAAGAGGAGTGGCCAAAAATAGCTAAAGCAATATTTAAGAAGATCAAAGTGGGAAAATGCTCTACCAGATAGATTATTTGCATAGCCAGGGTAATTAAGACAGTGTAACATTTGCATGGAGATAGTCAAACCAGTTGAGTAATAGAGGGAGTCCTAGAACAATTTATGTCCAAATGCAAATCTGACTTACTACAGAAGCTGTATTGTAGATACATGCAGTTGTCATTTGACATATTTGAACGTTTGACTAGTGTTGCATTAAAACTGCACATTAAAGGGAGTTCCTTAAGAATATAAATGTTTAAGGCAAGACTTCAGCTTTTAAGAAGGTATGATAGAATTTATTTAAGGTCAGGTGGTAGATTTCTTAAGGTAAAAAACATATTTGGCAATATAGATAAATTCATATGCTTTGATTAGTAATTATTTAATCAGAAAACAAACCTCAGTATTATAATTTATACCAAAATGTGTGTATAAGAGCATCTACAGCTATATTCAGTGTCTTATAAACAATTGATAAATATAGATAAGTTTGTGGTATATTCATACAATGAAACACTATAAAGCACAGAAAATGAACTCTATATATGTAATATCTAGAACATGTTGAATGAAAAAATGGAGCAAATATACTGTGAAAAGTTAAAAAAATAGTGCTTAGGGATACATAATACAGTAAATCTATAAAGAAAAATAAGAGAATAAAGAATATAAATATTAAGAATGTATGTTGTAGTTCAGAAAATAGGGAAAAATTAATGAAGAGGGCTTTAAAAGAAGCCTTTAGCAATATTGGTTAATTTGTGAATAAAGTTGGTGGTTCATTAATAGATATAGGATACCTATTCTGATTCATTGTTAAGTTGCCCATGTCTCTCCCCCCCATGTTTTGTTCCTGTTAAATGTACCCCTCCGAATTCTAACTCTTCCCTAAGATAAAAGTGAATCTGGAGAATGGGTTTTTATTTAGGGCATGTTTCTCTTGGTAACTATTATGCTTGACCCATAGCTAGCATTGTAAATATTTATACAAATTATGTAAAAATGATAGAAATAGAAGGTGTTTCTTCTTTTTTATTTTTTGATGTTTCTTCTTTATAGAAAACATCTCATTTTTTTAATTTTTATAATGTAATGCTTATATTTTAAGATCTTGCCTCAAATTTTGAAAGGTATTGTTTTGATGAGAAGTCCTAAAGTATATTTTGAACATTGGAATTTTATGGAGAATTAATATAACTGCACATTCATAAAACATATCTTCAAAAACTTTGTAAAAGGAAACAAAATTAAAGGTAACAAGTCAGGTAGATCATCAGAACTGTCCTGTCCATCTATCTTTTATCACAAAATCTGAATACTATTATCTATATGTCTATTTAAACTGACAAAATTCTCCTGACATTAAATTATATAGCTTTCTTTTTTTTTTCTGTTTTGTGGGGAAAAAAAATAAAGCTTCATAAATAACATAATAGGAGATTAACAATTGTTAATACTTTACTTTTTGCTATCTTCATATAGTTGTTCAATATATAAGATATTAATCTCATTAATTTTATTTTTTTCAGTGCATAGGTTTTTTGCCCAACTGGAATGATTACTTTTCATATTAAGACATACAGAACTGAAATTAACAAATTCAGATGCATTAAAATAGATTTATGGATGTTTATATTATTTATGAAGATAAAATACATATTTTAGGGGACATACGAATATGAGTGAAAAATGGAGTGTATCTTGCCATGCAAAAAATACAAGGAAAATGAGTCATAATTTTCATGAATATTTTAACATTACCAAAAACACAAAATGAATGTGGACTATTTTGTTTTAGCCCACAATACTTGATATTCATGCTCTTTTCTTTACTTAAAAGGTCAGTGAATTAGAATTAGAACTAGAAAATTCCAGACAAAAGTTTGAAGAAATGACTTACAACTATCAAAAAGAAATTGAGGATAAAAAGATTTCAGAAGAAAATCTTTTGGGACAGGTAAGAAAAACTAAATGTTTAGAACTTCTACTCAGATTCTATATTCATTAGCATTTAAAGAAAAAAAGATTCTTACGATTTTTAGAAAGAGTTAATAAATTCATATGAGGAACAATTATAAATTTCTGTAGCTAAAAATATCCCTGTTATTATAAATACAAACAGTGGGAAGTAAGCCAAATCTGTGATTGTCATGGGTACTTTTCACATTGCTGGGACAAACTACTGGACATCCACAAATTAAAAATAGAAAAGGTTTTTTTTAGTCCACTGTAGAGGTTTCAGTCCATAGTTGGCTGGCTGCAAGGCAGGGTGGCATGCAGAGGCACAGAAACAGTCCCTGGCTTGGTAGGCACATGGCAGAGAGCACCTGCTCTTACACCAACAGCAGCAAAGCTTCCCTTGCTGTTTTATCCCCATCCAGGTTATGTAGGGCCACCAGCACCCAGAAAAGGCCTTCTCATCATTCACACATAGAACTGTGCTAAACCAGTCAGTGGGCTAATTTAGTTCTCACACCCTTAATCCATATTGACACACCCTACATCCAATCATCAGTGAAAAACACCACCTATGAATGTATGAGTTGTTGGGATACATCTAGATACAAGTTAACTGTGATGTATTTTCTGCCTGTTTTTTCTGATTTCTTGGTGTTTGAATTTTCCATTTTTATATAAGTAAAAAGCACATTTTGCTTTTTCATTTAAGTTAAATTATTTATGCATTAATCTTAAGTACTACTTGTTTCCTAGATTGAGAAGACAACAGTAAGAGCTGATGAAGCTGAAAAATTACAGAAAGAAATTGATTTAAGATGTCAACATAAAATAGCTGAAATGGTAGCACTTATGGAAAAACATAAGGTAACTCATACAATAATATTTTTGGTTTTTTTATGTCTTTATTGGTACATGTTTGTAATTCATACTACAAGAAGAGGAGGTAGGGAGAGGGAAGAGGAAGAGGATGAGAAAAAAAACTAATTGAAATCATATTCTGTGCAAAAAGTAATGAACTGATAGTATTCTGATTTGTAAGAAATTATTGTCAATACCACAGTGACTAAGAGCTGGAATACTCTTACCTTCTATTTCTCTAAGCTCAAATCTTAACCGTACAAAGCTTGGCTTGGGTGTTCTAGAGTAAATCGTAAATCACTCTTTACCTGTTCTTCTGGTAGGTATCTTTTACATATATCTAATGCTTACTAGGCTTAGTAATTTTTTTTTTTTTTGCGGAACTAGGGATTGAACTCAGGCCCTTGCGCTTGCCAGAGAAGCGCTTATTCTACTGAGCCAACTCTTGGGCCCCAGTAATTTTTAAGAAAAGAATAAATAAAGACTGGACAGATAGCTTAGCAAACTAAAATGCCTGCTTAGGCAGAGTACAGCAGCCTGGGTTCGATCCCCGGCTGGCCCTGCCCCAGGGGCACGCTGAGAGGGTTATTGAGACTGGGTATGATGGCACACAACTGTAGTCCCATTGCTTGGGAGGCTGAAAACAGAGTCAATATCAGTCCCGATCTACCTAGTATGACCTTGTAGACCCTGTCTTAAATACATTTAAAAAAAAAGTTTGAAAAGCATACTGTTTGTGGTGGTTGTTTCACCTATTTGTTGTTGTTTAGAGTAATTCTTCTATTAGGAAAGTATGCCTGAATCTCCTCATGACTTGGAGAGGAAGTAGCCTATTCCTCCGTATTCATTTTAAAAATTGTCACTCAGCCCTTCATCAGGGGCCACCTGGTCAACAGTCTACTGCAGGGTGACAGTTTCAACCATTTCTAGCATCTCTGCTTCTCAGCTATCATCTCTGTTGCAGTAATAATAAAATGTATTTCAAAGTGAAAAAAATTGTTGCTGGAATCTATTATGATGTAACCAATAAAAAATTTAAGATAAGTAACATTATGAACTTACAGTTATGAACAAATTTGTTACATTTCTATCTAGTAAAGAAGCTTTTATCCATATTGATAGTAAATTTATCTCAGCTTTGGACAGTAGAAGCCTTTTTTTTTTTTAGTGGTACCAGGGGTTGAACGCAGGACCTTTTACTTGCCAGGCAAGTGCTTATCCCACTGAGCTATGCCTGGCACTAGAAGCCTTTTAAACTTGACTAAGTAATTCCTTTTGACTTGATTATGATAGTTTCTGGTAGCTTACTTTTTGACCTGGTAGAATATTCAAGGATCCTTTTTGTATTTTCTGACCCAGATTTTGGAGTTGACCACTTTTCTATGAAGTCCTGATACTTTTTTTTTCCAGAACTGGGGATTGAACTCATGCCCTTGTGCTTGCCAGGCAAACACTCTTCTACTGAACTATCTCCCCAGCCCCCAGTCCTGGTATTTCTGATGTATTTTTTAAATGGTGAAATTCAGTGTTTCCAATAAATAATTACTTCTTACTTTCCTGTTAGATTTTTTCCAAGACCTAGAGTAAGTTTTACTTACTGTTGAATAAGTTTTAAGTTATTAGAATGAAAAATATGTGAAAAACGATATCTGTACTCTAATAAACATTCTTTTCTTCAAATATTACATGTGTTTGGATACCAATATTATAAATTGTATTCATTTTGATATATTTTCATTTAATACAGCACCAATATGATAAGATGGTTGAAGAAAGAGACTCAGAACTAGGACTTTACAAGACCAAAGAACAAGAACAGTTGTCTCTGAGAACATCTTTGGTGAGATACAGAGCAAATCCAGTTTTTATAATGTTAGCATGCTTATGATAAAAATATTGTGTAAAATAACTTTTGAACTATGGAAACATGATCTTATCTGAAAGCGTTTTTACAGAGCTTCATATGTGGTTTTCTAATTTTGTTTTCTTGAAACAGTAAAACTTTTTTCAAATGAAATATTATGAGCTCCAATTAACTAGTAACTTTCAAGCTCTGATTGGGAAAGGGGAGTGAGATTAGGAGAGGATGAGAGCAGATGTACTTAGTGTTAAATCTTTAGAGAAAACGAAAAACTTGTTTAAGTGAAGACTACTTATAACCTCTGTATCTGCAGACTTTATTAGTGAATTTCTCTGTAGGGCTAAATTTATTGAAAAACTAGTTCACATTTTCATAGTCTTGAAAAGTATATGAGAGCACTTTAAAACTTAATTTTTTTTTCTTTAGGAGATTGAACTATCTAACCTCAAAACTGAACTTTTGTCTGTTAAGAAACAACTGGACATAGAAAGAGAAGAAAAAGTAGGTTTTATGGCATTATCAGTAAGATGATTATTGCATTTAGGTATAATTTTGCATTTTTATAAGCATGTCATTTTAGAAGTAATTGATAAATTTGGTTAACTAGAGATAAAAAATAGTTTTTCTCTGTTAACTTTTTTCCAGAAAAAATATCTATTTAGAATTTCCTTCAATTAAATGTCAGACACTTAGGACTGTACATGCACTTTTTTTTTTAAAATTTTTTTTAAAATTATTTATTTATTCCTTTTGTGTGTGTGTGTGTGTGTGTGTGTGTGGCCAGCTGTACATGCACTTTTAAGACTAAAAATACTTTTAAATATTCCATAACTGGGATTAAGGGTATAGCTCTGTGGCATAGCACCTTCCTGGCAAGTGTGAAGTCCTAAATTTAATTCCCAGTACCAAAAAAAAAAAAAAAAAAAAGCATAACTATTTGGCAGATATTACTTATATGAAAATGTTAACATTTAATATAGTTTTAAAATTGTTGTTTCAGAAAATGGCTTATAGTTGTAGCATTTTGCATTTTACAAAGTGAATTGACTCATTTTAGCATAACAAATACTATTTCATTCCCTTTTTATGGCAGGTGCTGTTGTGAGTACCCTACTAACATCAAAATTTATCCTTTTAACAAACAATGTTGTGTACAATACTTATTTTTTTGAATTTTAGGGAAGTTATTGAGAATCATGTAGTAAGGAGAATGTCTAGAGTGCAGGTGTGTGTCTTTATTTTTCATGGCTTTGAACCTCCACTGAAACACTCCACAACAGTTTAGAACATACACTTTCAATGTCAAACCTCTGAATTTGTTAACTTTCTTCCTGCATTTAATTCTTTTCATCCTTTTCCATTGATGGAAAAGCTTAACACAGCTTTCATCTTACAAATGTGAGTTTATTGTATATAAGTGTTTGTGTAGCATTTTTTACATTAAAATAGTTATTTTAGTTTGTTCCTTTAATAATTCAATATTATAGGCTCTTCAAAGGCTAGACTTATGCTTTTTCTTTGATTTCTTTACACAAACTTTGCAATTTTTATATTTTCAATAATATTAAAGAAATGACCAAATAGATTATTGTAATAATAATGTTCATACTTGCTTTTATCCTCCTGTTCCAGTGTATCAATAGAGAACAGTACTCTTGGGTCTTTTGATGTCCTGTTATTTCTAGCCCACCCTTCTTACTGGACATTAAACCCTGGGACTCATGCAAGCTAGGTTCTGTTACTGAGCAACATCTCTAGCCCTCACTTCCTGATGTTTTCAGTTAAATACTCAGCATTCTTCAGTATTTTATTATTAAGATGGTAAATATGAATAAGACTTTGATCAAATTTATATTTTATTAATTGAGAAAAAATTGCAATGTGACAGGTTGAAAACAGGTTGGTAGGAGAGTTACAACTATTAATATATTGCATATTGTTGTCTTTGTAGTAGTCATTCATAGCATACGATGCAGACATGAATTCCTGTCCAAACACTATTAGTACAGATCTTTCTTCTTATTGAATTAAGAGAAAGTAGCTATACATCTATCCTATTTTGTATATACAGATACAAAATTGTCCTGCATTTATATCACCTTTTTTTGTTCAGTTTTGTTAGAGATGGGTATTCCATTGCCATCCAAATATTGTAGGTGCATGAATTCAGCAAAATAATCCAATAACTCCACAGTAGTAGTGGGTTATCCACAGGACTGGCAATGTCCAAATCTGATGACTTGAGCCTTCCACAGCTCAGCATGTTAACATGGCTTCACTTTTCATACCTTGATTCTACACTTTTCTGCTGGATGGTTAAGACCAAGATAAAGCAAGACCTATATAACAAGAAATGTAACTTTTGTATCTGACATGGATGGTCAATACCCTCAGGACTTATCTCGAAACCCTGTACCACACTTTGTAGATCTTTTATCAGTATCAGCCATGTGGATGAGTCACGGCCATTGCCTGACCAATTTGCTTTCTATGAAAGCCTAAGAATGTTTTCTTTCCATGTGACTTCCTTAGGCACACTGTACATCATCAATCACATTACTCTGTGGCCCCATAATCTCCTTGATCAGAAAATTTGGGGCACAACTAAGTTACATGATGTTACAGTACAGGTTCTCCTATGTCCTGAGTCCTCACTGACCTTGAAAGGCTAAGGCCAGAATGTTGGCTGTCCTTTCAGTCTTTCTTTTTCTCTAATTTTTGATCTGCAACGTTAGGTTATTAACCCTTCAGAAGAGAAGGTTATTATTGCCCTACAACATAAGCAGGTGGGTTTAACCTCATTGTCTGTCTGAATATCAAACATTTTAGGCATAAGATGGAACATCTTTTTTAAAAAAAAAACATTTACTTGAGATACAGTCTGGCAGTATGTATTTAGATGACCAGAATGACAGGCATTCCAAGCATGACCCCACTATTACACATTGCTATCTTCAGTGCAGTTGCTTGGTTCACACGTTTCAGCATATATAGTTACTCAGGGTGGGAATCCCACCCAGTAACTGCCAGATTGAAAACCTGCTGATAGTTCTCAGCATCGTTGCCTTACCCATCTTGTACATATAAATGTATGGCTTTGCCCCTGTCATGTTTCCTAGCTTTTCTCCTTGCCCTCTTTTCATGTCTAATCCTCAAGTTCTAGCTTTCCTTTTAATTGTGTTATACATTTTATTTGTATTTCTTCTTTTGAGTTCTTATACTAGGGAAACTATGCAATACTTATACCTGTAGGTCTGGTTTATTTCACTTATGAGTATATCTTCAAGTGGCATTCACTTAAATATGAAGGCTTCAAGTTTATCATTCTTTATAGCTGAGTAATACTCCATTGTATAAAAATACCACATCTTTTTCATCCATTCTTCAGGTGACGGGTATCTTGGTTGTTTCCAAGATCTGGCTATCACAAATTGTGCTGCTATAAATATAGGTACACATATATCACTAGAATATGATGTTTTCAATTCCTCTGAGAAAATTCCCAGTAGGGTGATAGCCAGTTTGAATGCAATTTCCAATCCTAGATTTTTAAGGAGTCTTCACACTGATTTCCATAATGGTTGTACCAGTCTATATTCCCACCAATAGCAAAGAAGGGTTCCTTTTTCCCCACAGCCTCTCCAACATTTGTTATTGGTTGATTTGTTTATGATAGCCATTCGTTGTGGGGTGAGATGGTATCTCAGTGTTGTTTTAATTTGCATTTCATGGATGGCTAGTGATGTGGAGCATTTTTTCATATGTTTATTTGCTTCTTTAATTTCATCCTCTGAGAAGTGTGTGTTCATCTCAGATGCCCATTTCTGGATTGGGTCTTTATAAATTTTGGGGCGCTAATGTTTTTTAGTTCTTTATTCTAGAGAGTAGACCTTTGTCTGAGCACTTATTAAGATTTTTTTGAAATTTGTGGTTTGTGTTTTCACTTTGTTGGTAATTTCTTTTGACGTGCAAAAACTTCTCAATATGAGGAGTTCCCAGTTGTTAATTCTTTCAAATGTTACCTGTGTGATTTCATTTTTGTTCATGAACTCTTTGCCTACCCCTGTGTCTTCAAGAGTTCCTCCTACTTTCTCTTCCAGGAGATTTAGTGTTTCTGTTTTAATGTTTAAATCTTTAATGCACTTTGACTATAGTTTAGTGCGTGGTGATATACCTTGGTCAAGTTTCAGTTTTCAGCATGTACAGAGCCAGTTTTTCCAGCATCATTTGTTAAAGAGGCTGTCTTTCTTCCGGTGAGTATGTTTGGCCTGTTTATCAAAAATCAGGTGACTGAGTGTGTTCGTAGAGGTTTATGCATCTTCTAATCTATTCCATTGATCCTCAGGTCTATTTCCTTGCCAGTACCATGCTGATTTTATCACAGTAGCCTTGTAGTATAATTTCAAGTCGGGAATTGTATTGTCTCCTGCCTTGTCTTTGTTGCCCAGGATTGTCTTTGCCATTCTAGGTCTTCTCTGATTCCAAATAAATTTTAGGAACTATTTCTCTCAGTCTGTGAGGTATGTTGATGATAGTTCGATAGGGATTGCATTAAATCTGTACAGCAGTTTTGGGAGTATGGCCATCTTCACAATGTTGGTTTTTCCTATCCAGGAGCAGGGAATATCTTCCCATTTTCTGAAATCCTCTTTCAGAGTATTGTAATTTTCCTTGAAAAGATGTTTGACTTCCTTTGTTAGATTAATTCCAAGATAGTTCATTTTCCTCGTTGCTATTTGTAAAAGGTATTGTTTCTCTAATTTCCCTCTCAGTGTGTTTGTTATCTGTGTAGAGGAATGCTACTGACTTTTGGGTATTGACTTTGTATCCTGCTATACTGTTGAATTTGTGTACCAGTTCTAGTAGCTTCTTGGTGGAGTTTTTTGGGTCTTCCAAGTAAAGTACCATATCATCTACAAATAATGATAATTTAACTTCTTTACCTATTCTTATTCCTTTATTTTTCTCTCTTATCTAATAGCTGTAGCTAATGCTTCCTGAACTGTATTGAATAGGAGGGGTGATGGAGGACATCCTTATCTTGTACCAGATCTAAGAGTAAAAGATTTCAGTTTTTCCCCATTTAGGATTATATTAGCCATTGGGTTGTCATAGATGGCTTTTATCAGATGTAAGTAAAGGCCATCTATTCCAATTTTCTGTAGGACTTTGAACATGAATGAGTGTTGGAGTTATCCAAAGTCTTTTCTGCATCAATTGAGATGATCACGTGGTTTCTAGATTTCCCCTATTGATATGGTGTATTACATTTATGGATTTGCATATATTGAACCATCCTTACATCCCTGGGATGAATCCTACCTGATTATGGTGTATAATCTTCTTGATTTGTTGTATTCTATTTGCTAGGATTTTATTGAGGATTTTTGTATCTATGTTCATGAGGGAGATAGGCCTGTAGTTCTGTTTCACTTGTGTACTTCCCTGGTTTTGATATCAGTGTAATACTTGCCTCCAGGAATGATTTTGGGA